GAAAGCAAAGGTGCAGATTTTATGGCGCTGGTCGCTTTGAGGCAGGGGGAAGGAAAGAACGTTGCTTCTTCGCTAGTCTGTTGTTGGTTTTGTTGAATTATCCGTTTCACCTTGGCAAGGGCTGTGAACTCTTTTCATTGTGAGCAAAGCTCATGCTATTGCAGAGCTACACAGAAATTCACAGTTCCCCGTAGGAGGCATCAGTGATCGATGTGGACCAGGTTAAATGCCCACACCAAGCCGAATAGCACCTGTTTTCTGATGTTCTGTTTGCTGACAATTTTGTTAAAATTGATAATTTTTTCTTCCTTCAAGACGAAGTGCTGGATCGATACTCTTTTGGATTATTGTCCGACTATATGAACCCTGAAATGACTGCATTAACAAAAGGATATCTTGCTATACGGGATCCTGAAAATATTGAGAATGAGCGTGTGGACATGTCAATGAAAAGGAAGGCTGAAGAATCGTATGAAGATATTGCTCCAAAGCCGGCTAAGGTGGGTTTCTCAGAAATTTTCATCAATAACGCTTCATCAGGTAGAATGAGCTAGAAAAGCTTGAACTGTATAAATTTTCATTGCAGAAGCCGAAGGAGTCCGTAGTAATGAAGAAACTGCAGCTAGCTAGTAAAGGCACAAAGTCGATCAATAGCTTCTTTACTAAGAAAGTTTAAGCGGGTCTTATCTCAGGTCTTCTATTGAACCTTTCATCTACATTTTTATCGCAAACTAACCGTCTTTAACTCTGCTGACATTATTTGCTTTAACCTGCTTTTATTTCTATTTGTCGCTGCCGTAATGATCTCTTTGCAGCTAATGTTTATAGGAATTTTGGAATGTAAAGCTTTCACAGTTCACTCAAATACGGTGATGTCTATGGGTTGTCCTAAGTTGCTCATTTTGATGACAATAAACCGTTTATTATAGCTGCTAGGGTGTTGATCAATTCAGTGTTGCGCCGACAGCAAATATCTGATGTGCCATGAGTTGCCTTATTTGCTCAGTTTTACTATTTTATTCGGTTGCTTTCCCTCCTTGGAACAAACTTTTCCGACTGTAACTCAGAGGCCCACCCCGCAGTGAGCCAGTGGGAGGAGAAGTCGCGCCTTTCTCATGTATTAGGAACAAATATTTCGGTCTTCCCTCCCTACATTCCAGGCGGACCCTTTTTGACTTATGTATGTTGCATAAACTGATAAGGGACAATTCCATACTTGATTTTTCTCGTTTTTACACCCTTATTCCGTCCGTAACCAGAGGTGGTCAACACAAGCTATCATTTGCTCGCCCTAAAACAACCCTTAGACGCAATTTCTTCACTATCAGAGCGGGTCTTGCGTATCTACGTTTGGGCAAAACCACATTGTTTAATGGCTCTGTGACTTCCTTCAAGCGTGCTATAGCTAAGCAAGTTCTCAGTGTATAGGTGCTATGTTCCTTCATTGTTGTTGTGTTTTTTGTTCGTTTTATGTTTAGATTTGTTCTCATATATCGAGCGTTGTCTTAAACAGCGTACTAAATAAATAAATGAAATATGTATTTTCGAACTGAGAATTTATTACATCTTCCGCACAGGGCCCGCATGTTCAAAGGTGGCGGCATGTCCAAAGTGGGTATCCAGATGAACGCGGGGCGATAGCCGGTGAACTTGCCGTGTTCGTATAATAGTATGTCCGTTTTTGAGGAAGGATGTCTCGACTTGCGGCATCTCGGATCGTTCATGTTGGTAGAGGAATCGGTGATGTGACTCCCTACGGAAAACGAATCGATCGCCTGAGTAGGAGGATTTTTGGCGAAGTTGTTCGAGCTACCGACACTAAGAGTATGAAGGTATGTAACCCTGTTGGACCTTCTGTAAGGTGCTTTGTGCGTTTTTAGGATCTGCCTCTCAGTGCTGTTATCCTTGATTTTCGTATCTGATCAACACATAAGGAATATAAGAGTGCGAGATAAAGCAGAGGTTATCGTTGTGATCCCTCGGATCCCTTGCAAAGCCAGGGCGTGATTTGAGGTCGCGAGCCACTGAGCTTCCGCCAATTGTTTCGGAGTCTGGGTTGGTACATTGATGAGAAGACCGCCCTTCGGCAACGTCAATCCACGCCGGTCACACGGCCTTATCTCTTTGTAGGATTATATGACCCTTTGCGTAGGTATAGAAATGAGAAAATTCAGATCTGTATTCTGAAAGCATTAGCTGGTTAAAAAAGTTTCCCCAAATTTACAGTTCTTCAGTCAATGCTCTGATTCTTCGCCGGCTTTGCCAATTTTCCAAAAACAGAAACGAAAACAATCGAATGAACTGCTTTGTTGTCCAGAAATCGGGATTGCCGCAAAGTGCCCTCAAAATGCGGCTTATAACGGAGACTAGGCTTCGGTAGCGCTTTACTTGAACATTTGTGAAGTCATTATTCAATTGCCCATCTCGATGTATCACGACGATACGCAGACAATATCGCTACTAATGTCTACATGCTTTTCTCTTCCGTTCATTTAAGGATCTCTAGAAGAAATCTAGGCCTGAATTCTGCTCTAACCTTGCTACTTTCCACTTTGATGCGGCCTTTTTTTGCGTACACTGTTTTCGTGTTCATAGCAAGCTTACTTGTCTTAACTTAGTTAGGCTAGTACGAAGGGAAACCGATGCCAATGTAACCCAAGTTTTTCTGCGTCATTATCATACGTCATGCGAAAGGTCGATACCTCCTAACTGTACTTTATCTAGGTTGTTCGCGTCATGTCTGCAGAACCGGACGAAACTAAAGAACAACTCTCGGTTAAGTATTACCCTAATTTACCCATGTTCCACTACCTCACCAAGATGCTTCGATTCCACGGCCTCTTATTCGATGAGCATGTTGTATTCCGACAGGTTAGTTTTTTGAAATTGGTTCTTCTATAGTATTAGTATTGCTACGCCTCTCAACAGGTGTTGATGATATATAACTTTAAATATCCCAACAAACATCGGCGAGTTTCTGCTATCTGTCAGAACTCTGTCAAGTTAAACAATTTGTGAACTCCCTCCAATCCTGGTCCTTGCCTTATGAGACGTGAATGGCTCCGCAGCGCTGCATCAGCGTGCTATTATACTTTCTCCGCTCAGAAGCGCATAAATGAGGCTCAAGGGTAGTCATACCTGGGCTCCATCCCGGGTCCGACTGCGTAACCTACAGCCTACTCCATACCTTATCATAGCGGAATGCACTACTTTTTCTGCTTCTTCTCGCTTGCAGCGATTTCGTCGATACCAAGTTCCCGCAGCAACACATGTAATGATTGGTAGAGAACAACCGGAATTGAGAGGGCACAGGTGAGTAGCGCGTTTAGTCGTGTGGCTGGCCATTTGGCGGCGCGGAGGAGTGTAGAGAGGCACTAGAGTATCACACTCTCCAGTCCATATCGCTGCTTTGTGACAGGAGAAAGGCCGTAATGCAAGCACTGCGCTCTCATCACCGCAACATGGCAGGATAGAGTGTGTGTCCAGTTTGGCTGTGCGAAAAGTAAACATACCAGGGTTGGTCTGGAGAAGACTGCAGTGTCCCGAAAGCAAAAGTTCTCATTAGGCAGTCTGAAATGAGGTAGCAGTGGGATGATGGATCAAGATTTACGAATTTGTGGTGCTTTTCTGAATTCTTTTATTTTAGGTACAAGACGAGGTTAAAGATTTCGAGGAGGTGGTGCGAGACCACCAATCGGCAGGAAACGAGCTTTGCTTAGAGGGTCAAAGAATGACTTTTTATGCCCGTATTATATAGATTAGTTATGTTTTGTATATTGTTTTGGTTTGCTGAATGAAGTGTTCAACGTGGAGTTGTGTGCTCTTTGTACAGTATTTTGTATACTTTACCTCTCCTTTGATGTGGAACTTGCTTACAATAGGAATACGAATAGATTAGCCAAACAGCAAAAGTCGCCGACCGTTCATGCTGGGTGTTGAGAGCGCGCCGTGTGCTATACATTTGAAGAGGAAACAGCTGAAGGAAAAGTAAAGCCCTGCGTCGCGTAAGGTAGAGCAATTCTAGTTTGATTCAATTTCGTCGATTAAGGTTCTTTAGCTATTGCTCTTCCCCTCCCCAGATACTAACAGAAGAATTTCTTTGGAATCAAAAGTTTTACAGTGTCTCTTTTCCCTAGTGAAGCTCATTATTAGTAGATGAGGGAGAGTTCTTATGACTTTATGACTTAATTGGAGATCGAAAGTTGGGTTACCACGGTGGTTTAGGGGATCGTAGGTTCCCTTTTTTCCAGAACTAGTTCCCGTAGAACTAGGGGCCCTTGCAATGCTCAATCTTATCTGAGAAGTTTCTTGGACGCAGTTCGTCATGGGGTTGGAGAACATTCTGCACTTTTGCTACATACCATCGACTTGTGAAGAAAATTGCACAATGGTGGAGACGTGAAATCTTGAGAAGCCACGAAATGATGCCAGGTAAAGCTTGTAGAGACCATCTGTCGACTCTTGTAAAGCAACGAATGCCAAACTAGTACCATTTGCATAGGGGTGCTTGACAGTTTTGGTCCAGCTGAAAGAGTTACAGGTTTCACAGTACGAGCCTGCTAACCGGAATAAGTGCGAGACGAAGTGCATGTGCCCCTTCATCCCCCCCCCCCCCCTTCCACTGCTGCCCTGCCAGAACTGGCGCCGTTACCGGTTAGCTTATGTTCTATGGTACATCAGGTTCATCTAGCTATATTGTTCATTTCCCCTTGAATGCTGTTTGGTCCAATCAAAAGCAAACAAAATCTGTGAGGACATGGGAAGGAAAGCATTTCGGATACTACCTCATCTTCTCACAAAGTGGATTGCGAACCTCGGGAAAAAGTGGCTGCTTTCGATATGGGTGAGACAGGCTTTCAGCGTTTTGGTTCATATTCATGTTCTTCTCTAGTGCAAGTTCTTCATTTCAGATGGTACATTAATAACGACGAAATCCGGTAAAGTGTTCCCTGTGGACAATTCCGACTGGAGGATAATGTACGACAAGATTTCACCGCACTTGAAGAAGCTGTACAATGAAGAAAACTTCAAGATTGTCATTTTTACTAATCAAAAAGGCATCCAGGTATTCGGGTTACAAGCGTAGACATTCAGTGGTTTACACGAACTTCTCGATTTTGACTCATTGGCGGTCAATTCACGTGAATGAACAAACGCTTGCTTATCGTTCTTTAGAACTTTTAAAATCTACACAATTTCGGAACCTTGGTTTTTCGGATTTCTCGGCAGTAGTTCTGTTGATTTAAAACATAAGTCTATTTACTGCCTGATGAAGGGGACTTGTGCACGAGAGGTTGGGTCGGGGCGCCGCCAACCCGTTCTCCACCAGTTTTTCAAGCAAGTAAGCGTCAAGAACTGGTGGAAAGCGAGTGGCACGAAGAACGACATGATTAAGTCCTGTGCTTGTCGAAAGAAAAAAAAATGAAGAATAACGGGCTAGCGATAATGCAAACCTTGCCCCCCCCCCCGCCCATGCAGCCTTCGCGCGGACATCCGCAGGCGACAGCCGTAATCTCAGAGGAACAGCGCGTAACTTCGAGACGTAATTGATTATGATATGTTGAAATTCTACCGCGAAGGTAAAGTAACCAGGTTGTTAGCTCTGTGAATGCAGAAGCATCTATACTCACGAATCTGTTGATGTGAGAGCAAGGCTTTAAGAGGCTACAAGCACTTCGCGCATTGGTCATCAAGATTAAAATGATCTAGTTCAAAATTGAGTTTTTTTGAATTGGCGTGGCTCACACTGGCTTGCGCGGCCACCCGACGTACAAATCATTGAGTGGAGGTCATTGCTTTTCATCCTTACAAGTCTGAGAAGCACCTCTTGCCACTACACCACCTCCACCCCATATGGAGCATTGAATCTTAAAACTAAACTAACCTCTTGTATCATACTGCTTCGTTTTAATTAAACTGGGGATTGATGTTTGGTTGGAAATTATCAACTTGAAAGAATTTTTCTTACCGCATTTTAGAGTGGAAAAGTCGATAAAAATGGTTTCAAGCGTAAAGTGGAAACTATAATTACCAAGCTCGGAGTCCCAGCTCAGGTATGACTTTTCACCTCATCACGTTTTTCGTGCCTGAGGAAACGTCCTATTAAGTACAGCGTTTTATAGGCATTTGTATCAATTGGAGAAGGCCACTATCGAAAACCTTGTACCGGAATGTGGAAGGAATTGGAAGAAGCAAATGGTGAAGTTGCCATAGATGTCAGCAAATCCCTCTATGTGGGAGATGCAGCGGGCAGACATAAGACCAAAGTACTCGTTACTGTTCACGGGAATAACTTCTTGAGAGTTACAGTAACGTTCACTACTTTGTAGGCTCGTCCAAAAAAGGATCACTCCTGCTCAGATCGTTTTTTCGCTGCCAACGTCGGTCTCAAGTTCCAGACTCCCGAGGAATTTTTCCTCGACCGGGACGAATCTGAGCCTTGGGGACCGCCCTCCTTCGATCCTGTTCAGTTTTTTAGCATGAACAAACCTTTGCTGGAGCCGGAAGGTGAGTCGAACAAACAACTGATAAGCCTTTCACGTAACTTTGAAAGCTTAAAAACTTGCTGTCTTCCAGAGAGCTAGCTCCTATTCCTTGTTTCTTGTAGACGAAGTAAAGAAGCATGGGGTTCAGGGTGAAGCATCATGATTGGTGGCGGTTTCAGTTCGCCCCTTCCCCAAATTTCCTCTTCTTGTACGACCCCCTCACCAGCAACCAAGCATGATATCTGATCGGGTTCTCGAAGGGGTGCTGATCGAGGGTACCGTGACAGTTTTGGCAATGCCCGTCCGGTCAAACCTGGCTACTTTTCCTTGGCAGACTAAGTGAGAACCATGAATATGCCACGCACTCTACTTCCTACAGAATGTAGTGGCTTTTTGAATGCGATACATGCTATAAAATGACGAGCGAGGATTGGTCGGATGAATGAATGGCTCTGTTGCCGAGGCTGAAACTCATCCGGGAATTGACTCCTGGACCGTGCGCGTGGTAAGCGAGGTCACTTATCACTACACCGCCTCCGCCGGATATAAATAACGTATGCACCTTCATTGTCCGTGGTACTTGTGATGGATCTCGATGGTGTGGCGCTTTCCTTGATTGATTTTGACAGGTCCCTTCATATTTCGTTGATCTTCACAGATCCCTCTACTCTTGGTCTTCTCGGAGAAAAAACTGTGGGTGCGAGTTACACTCCTTATCCCTGAGTCAGAGTAGGCGTGGCATTTGAACATGGCACGGAACTGGTTACTCGTGGAATATTGTCTGGGACAACTGTCATCTTGTTCTGTGTTGGACAGAGACACGACAACAATTGTGTCAAGATGAAAATATCTCACCAGAAGCATAACTCAGGTTAAAGGCAGCGCCCACGTTCACTTGATGTTCCTACGCCCTTTCTGGATATCATAGCCCTCCCCATAAGGATGCAGTATGTACTAGTTTTGCATCTCACAAAGGCGAGAGGATAGCGCCTATCGCTAGTAAAGAGTCGACCGCCCCGCCCACCTGGCGACCACGACGCCCAACTTCATTTCTAATGGTTGCCTGATGGTGCCATTGCTGCTTCTCTCCACGTCGTGTGGTGAGAGTGAGGTGATAAGGGGAAACAGCTGAAATCAACAAGTGAGAACTCGTGCAACCACTCCTTCTCTTCGCCTTAAGCACGTACAACCGCTATTCGGTATGAAACTCCTTATAGGGCATTTTGCATGTTTTCTTTTTGATTTTTCTTCACTAATAGGTTTCTTGCTACCTTGCTATTACTACCTGAGCCGCATACTCATCAAATTTGAACGCGGGCGCTGCCTTTAAGTTGAGATATGATGCCATGCCTATCCGATCTCAGGGATTTTGGGTAGTATTCATCATTCGTCTTTGTTTCAGATACTCCTTTACCATCGCCAACAAAAGAAGTGATTGTAATTGTTGGTTTTCCGGGATCAGGAAAGTCAACATTTGCTCGGAAGTTAGAATCCGAGCACGGTTACATGGTGGTGAATCCGTGACACGCTTGGGCACTTGGCAGAAGTGCTGCGAACATGCTCGAGCTCACCTGAGATCTGGTAAGAGCGCTGTGGTGGACAATACCAATCCAGATAAGGAAGCCAGGTACAGAAATTGTTCGTCGTCTTTAATTTCTACACTTGACGTTGTATCTACTTCACTCAGGAGCCGCTATACAGCATTAGCAAAGGAAATGAAGGTGCCATGCCGATGTTTCGTTCTCACATGCGACATCCATCAAGCCGAGCATAACGTGAAGTTCCGTCTGTTGACACAGAAGTCTTCAAATGAGGTCACATTGATGGTTCTTCGCACGTATGCGAAGAAATACGAGGTGAGGGTCAGAACAAGTTGCTGCTGCTCTCATCCGCACTTTGTTTAGCGGTTACGTTTTGAAAGCTTCGACCACTTCTGTTGTTCACTTTCTGCCCGTGTTGGGCTGCCGAGTGGGCATAAGGTTGTAAAGTAATCGTGAAAACAACAGTTGGGTATTGTGAGCAAATTAGGTCATAATATTTCTTGGCACTTGGAGTGAGAACCATATGGAATCTAACCAGTTTTTCGAATGTAGCCTCAGCTCTTACTGATACACAGCTCCTCCGAAGTGGAAAGGACAGATGGGACGTAGATAGGTGTAGAGGCAGGCTTCGCTTCCTGCTCTTCAACAATGAGAATCGCATTCACCTGCCAAACGGTTTAGGTCGTTATCTATTTTCGGAATGGTTTTTGTTGCATGCTGTAGAGGTTGATGCGAGCAAGAGTATGAATCGCTTTCCTTCTGGGAATGCCAAGGAGTGAACCCTAGACTTTTGTACTCTTTCTGTTCACAATGACTTTGTTGGATAGGCAACAGCAATATTTCCTATTTCTCTTCGCCGAACAAAATATTCAGGTGTTTCTGGGCACTGTTCCGAATTAAATGTACACAAAAAATAGAAGTTGGTGGAATGCTGAATTTTGGAAATAGTGGAAAACACATTAAATGGAAGGAAAAAGCAGAAAAAAAAAGCAAAAAAAGCAACCAATATAGAACCCAATGCTGAACCACAGTTGTGCGAGTTTGACTCCAAGAAAGGGTCGTTGGGTTCGGACGATTTTCCCGTTGGTATCAGATGTTTCTACTTATCCACCTCACTCTCACTATTCGGAATGGAAAGTGTTAGCAGTGGAACAAGCGCCCCATCAAGCAGTAGTTAAAAACGAAAGTTGGGCGCTACCGTGGCTAGTGGGCGGACGTACCCTCGTCGCACTTTCCTCACGTATTTTTGAGCTGCGCAACTAGTACATCGTCCATGCTTGCCGGCAGGACTAGCTTGTCCAACGAAGGGTGTGAACATCAGATAAACGCATGCTGCCTTTAATTAGTAGTTATTCTGTCTGGAAAGGAAAACTAGCATGCGTATCACGTCTGTTACAGATTGTAGCCCCTTGCTGTTTAGGGAAAAGATTAGAAAGAACTACGATAGTATTCACAAACTTTTCACGCAGGTTGTCCCTACCATACTTTTATGCCACAGAACATACATCGTCATCCGGGCAGCTGATTAGACGGTCAAAGAGTCGCAGATGCGGCTGCGTCGCGTCACGACCACGGCGATCAGCTGTTTCCAGCCTGGTTTAGCCGCTTTCTCCCTAATTTTTCCACTGTATTTTCTATTATTTTTTTTTCTTCAAGGTGAATTGCGTTATTGCCTCTATGAAGTCTATTAGGAAAAGGATTCTTTTCTGTTTTTGGAATGAAGTGTGTTTTTTGCGTTTTTTGAACGTATTTGTTGTCAACTGTTAAATTGTTCGCAAAAATTAGTGAAATCGTAATCATAATTTACCTTGTGAAGACAAGGAATAACTGACCGTAAGAAAGGCAGCCAAAAACAGTGAAGAGTAGGGAGAAAATGACTAAACCAGGCCGGAAACAGCTGATCGCCGCCAACAGTTCCTGCGTACGCGGTCGCTGCTGCAGCCGCGTCTGCGACCCTTCGCCGACCGCCTAATCAGCTGCCGCGCATGACGACTGTAGTAGTAATTGCTAGACAAAGGTTTCGACACAAGTCGTCTTCTTCAGGATACATGGATATATTCCGAGCTCCAGGTATGGCCTGTACTTGAGCGTGCGCCCCGTTTCACTCTCGGTTAGGGCAACGTGTTTGCTAGCTGATCTGGGAATCCAGTGTGCATTGAGATCCCAGATGCGGACTCCAGCTTTCTAGCGTCACCTACCTAAAATGGGGCTGTACATAAAGTGTTCCACTGCATGAGGCACAATAATACTAACTGAAGAAGCTAACGTGTCGAGTCTCATAGGAGAAAATTACATTTTACGTGGGGAGGAAGGGCTTGAGAGGGAAAGTGTCGCATTCCATGTGTACGGTCGTAGGCCAACTCTTGGATCAGCTCCCAATCACGCCAACCAAGTCTCTCGTTCCTTGTGGGTTTGGTAATCGGCACTACACTCTGGTGTTGGTTATCAAAGGAATCATTTAGATGGTTGTAGTAGCTAGCGCACATCCGTATCCCTCAGAAGTTTCTGGTATGTGAAGGGTTAAAAATGATCCTCTCTTGTGCAAGTGCTACTGTTTTGGTTTTCTTCTGCCACTAGTGTCAAGGAGTAAATAAAGAACTGAAATGGCTCCAAATGAAAATCCGCTCCTTTTCACAACTCTTTTTGCAGAAGCCGGAGCTGTCGGAAGGGTTTGACTCTGTGGTCCACGTAAACTTCGTGCCTGACTTTGATAATGAAGAAGACGAGAAGTTGTACAAGCAGTTCTTGATAGAAAACTAGTATCTCTATTTTTTTTCTGAAAATGGAAGTTATTATTCGAATTATGGATTGATTTTTGAACTTCCCGTTGTAATGAGATCTCCTTCTCACCCGTTCCGCAATTTCTGTCACTACTAAGGTTTTACCATGGCAATCGATAACTTTTACTTTGGTACCATTTCTTTATAGAATTCGTCTAACATCTGGGCCATAGATGGGTTTTAAACATTTTGATCTGTAAGTAATTCCTCATTTTTACAAGTTCGTTAGCAGTATTCCGGTGATTACCTTCTTGCACCCCCTCCTACTCTTATCAGTTTTTGAATTGTTGTATCGATTTTAGACTGCTTTATTCAGGGGAATTCATCGAATGCGAGATAACATGTGTCGCAGTCTTGAACGGCAGCTAGTTTAATAAACATGGTTATAATCATAAGTCTTTGCGCTTCGTGTCCCCTCTTTACCCTGCGATACGTAGCTGTAGACGCTGGGATGTGTCAGAGAAGGGGGTGGGTTTAGTGAGGCACAAGTAAGGGACAACAGTTGCTATAAATGAATTGTAGCCGCGCCGAATCCAGCCCTCTATCCCTGACACGCCCCAGCGTCTGTAGCGAAATCGAGTGAAGTTCGGGGCACACCACATGGAGATGTGTAAAATGACTGTGTCAATACGACACACTCTAATAGCCGGGTCCACGTACCACTTCCCACCTCTGTTAAATTAATCTAATGAAGTAACAAATTACGCGCTTATGTTTACGAGGAGTGGATGTTTCCGGTGTAGTCTTAAAGTTTCTCTCTTTTCCTAGACGATAACTTATTAATAAGCGCGTTGTTTGGGAAAAGAGGGCGGCTATGTAAGCATTCAGGTTTGTTAATTCGTATTTAAGCTTGGCTTCTCGGAATTCCCCAGTCCGAGCAATGCCTGATAGGTCTTCGATGGGTTGAAAACTGCATGGCAGTCTTTATGCTTTGAAGGGCCATAAGCCATAACTTGCTTTGCGCGAAACATTTGAGAGTCCGAAAAAACGTTGGAATGTGGTTAGTAGAAAAGGGCGCAGTACGGCGGCGGGGGGGGGGGTATTTTGTACTATCACTGCTTCCCTAGTTCCTGTTTACAAGTCTCACTCTGGCGAAACATGTGAAGCTGGAGCGAGCTCTTCTAGCCATCATGGTAAAGCCTGTCAACTCGAGAAGAAGCTGCCTAGATAGGTCGACATGTTGATGGGAAGTAGCGAAAGTGCAAAATGCCC